ATAGTACCCAGGCAAAAATCGGGGCTGAGTGGTGTGTGTGCGGCTCAGCTTTGCCCTGGTACCTGCAACCACTGTTCAGTCAGGTCACCCCCAGACTGGAGGGGGATGATTCTGAGGGTAGACACTGAGGTAGGATAGTCGGAGTAGGAGTGCGCCCGGAGAAACTACGAAAGAGTTAGCACYTGGTATGTTGGGAGGGAGTCCCATAGGTGGTAGGTTGGTAGGGAGTCCCATAGGATAGGATTGGGGGACCTCTACCTCATGGCCGAGTGCCGAAGGTGACTCTCATATATGTCTATAATCCAGCCTCTACAACAAACCGGGCTTAAAGCACAAGTACACCACATATCCGCCCGCGTGTGTCAGTATGAAACCCCCACCACACCACTTCAGAGGCCGCCGATTTTGAATGTGGCGACAAAAACTTTCTGYAAGGCTGGGGCCAGTTTTAGCCTATTCCCCAACTTTTAGGAGGCCAGGCCTGACAACAGCTGCCGTTGATAAATCTGAAGGCCTCCTGAAGGTAGGAGGCCCAAAAGAAGTTGCAAAATACACACTTATGCGGTAAAATACAGCCAGAAGCAGTCCGTAGAGTGGAAAMCCCCTCTGAACTTTCTCTGCCCTTTTGAAAAATATGGACCATTTCTGGATTTATGACTGTCATCCTYGCACAGGGGCGGTTATGTGAAAAATTCCAGAAGTTTGTGAAATGCCCTTTTGCTTGGATTTAGATTTTAAACCCTTGTCAAGGGGTTGCCGTGTTTGTGCTAAACACCTGGCAGGGGCAGAATGCAAACTTGCACCTCCACCTCCCRAAGATTTAAATCCAAAAGGGCATTTCACAAGCTTTTGGCATTAAAAAGCAGTCTCTGCTGATGTTCATAGTGGGAGAGGTAATGCGCGAGGCGAGGCGACTGGCCACTCAGGTGATGCTCGGTCCCTCTGCTTCCGGCTGTCCCCTGGCCAGTGCTCCCCACTGGGGGTTCCCGGAAGGCAATAAAGGCCACCCCGGGCTGAAAAGGCCACCCGGTGTTCAAAAATTAGACGCAAGATTGAATTTACCTGGGCACACACACGTCCGATTCCCTGCGTCGGTGATGTCGCCAGTTCTTAGCTGACCACGCTCAGTGACGCGCCCCGGACAATACAATGCAGCTGCGGACCAATAGATTAATCCACTCATCTCCAAGCTGAGCCCCTCCCGGTCGCTCATTCTGCTTCTCTCCAAGTAGCTTGCTGATGTCGAAGAAACGCCCCCCCCTGTTGTTGACGCCTGGTTAAATCAGMTTAGGCCATGCTCACATTACGACTTTCTGAACTGGATCTCGCTGTATTTGCCGCCAGTATGCCCTTAGCACTTCTTCCAGAGCAGACTAAAACCCGCACTGGTGACGGTGATCGAGCCCTTGTTGTTTAGGACGACCAAGGCCTTGTTGTTCTTCTTCGGCGAGGGTGGGGGCACTACTCTTGCCTCGAAATTGACATTGAGCAACACCGACTCAGTGCCACACGGTGCATAGGCCAAGGTTGCGAAGCKRTCCGAGAACTCAAAGTTGCCGTCGACGGGAGGAGGCAAGCTGTGCGAGGATCTGACTGTCCCTGGGAAACCCGAGATGTAGTACGCAACTGCCAGTGCACCCGTGACGCCTCCCTCGAACTGGGCGGACCCTCGAAATGCCACAGTCGTCACACTAAACGTGAACCCAGCAGGATATCTCAGGGCGACGCCCACTTGGCAGCTTTTCCGCAGGTCAGCTTTACGTCCTGGAGTGAACACTTTGAACTTCGTGAAACCCAAACTGGAAATTCCGTCGGGGGAGATTGCAAGATCGAGAMCTTCAGGCGGACAGCCAGTGCCAGCATAGGTCWAGCTCTCGATCTTTACCGTACCAGGTGGCGGACTTTGAGCAAGTCCAGGAACGGCAAGCTGGAGAAGCCCCAGCAACAGCACGACCACCATCGCCGACATCGTAGACACGGACTCGAAAACCGTGTGCCTGATMCTCTTCGTCTTCGCCTTTCGTTTCACCTTGCTCTTGTCTCCGCGCGCCCAGCGACAGATGAGCTCTTCCGGCGATGGCAACAGATAACGCCTTCCCGGAGCTGTTCGCCTGGAGTCGCCCCTTGAGCTCCCTCTCCTCGGCTCAAATGCCGTGGAAGAAGAGATAGCCGACGCCACTTCTGGGAGCTCCCGCCTGCGATCCCCAAAGASCGCCCACGATCAGTAAGCAGATCGCAGCGCACTGTAYGCAGAGTGCCCGTTAATGCGCCTTTATACAGAGCCGGAGGTGAAGTCTGCCTGTGTCCCCCYAGCACATTAAAATGGTCGGTTCGAGGAGGAAAGCAGCTCACAGGCGTACCCTCTGGCAGTGTGGAGAGGACATGCGGATCAAATAAAGATAAAGCTATAAAGCTGCAACGAAACCTCTATTTTTGCRAAGGAAACTTCGAACGGACGACATTTTTGCTGCCAAACTTCGAAAATCAAACAGCAATATTTTTSAAATTAACCCCATGCGGATCAAATAAATTAAGGGGAAGATAAACTGGAAAGCCGSCCGAACGCCACGCGTYCAGTGTCGAGACGAGAGAAAGAAGGAAGGTTGCACCTCGCTCCACTACTCTCGACATGCACGAGAGACAAAAATCATGGCGTTGTATCCCTCCAAGTTGTAGCGGAAGATTCACTCTTGTTTTGCGCATACGCACCCTCATTTTGGCTGTAACTGGCCRGAAATACAGCTTGTATACATTCATTTTTAGGGTGCGTTATGTTCGGGGAAAGACGGCAGTGGAAGCGAGACCCTTTGGAATGCCATCTTATAGTTTTTCCATCCACTTRYAGATCATGCACCTGCCCTTTGTCTGGCAGTAGGGAAGCCACTCCTTCGCGGCAGGGGACATACTCCTAAAAGCGACAAGCACGTGAGAAGATCCGGTCTTACCGTTTTTCCATCCACTTGCGTTTGAAGTTTCGACGTGCCCTTTGTGATAGAAGCAGGGAAGCCACTCCTTCGCGGCAGGGAACATACTTCTCCTCAAAGCGACAAGCACGTGAGMGGGTCTTTTTTTTTTTTTTAATTTTCGTTTTCGATATATTTTCGAAATGCCCCTTTGTTTATTTCCGGCATGCCCCTCCGACGGCCTACTAAACCCCTCGTTCTCCTCTGCGATGATCCGGCGTCGGTTGGACCTGAAATTTGTTCAAAATGCCCCTACTGCCACTGGTACCGGTTCCAACCGGATTGCCGTTGAGTACAAGCCGAAATAAATCCATATGCCCGTACGCTACCTTGCAACTGTCCAGTATGTGATTGTGCCCGTACATCTTTCCAGTATGCCACCTGCGACCGCTGGTCGCACTCACGGCTGTCCCTTGGCCCTGGGAGGACGATTACAAGGGCATATAGGAAGTTTGTCATATAGCCCAACTTTCTGCCGTGCCCTCAATTCGATTGATCTCTCTCTCTCTCTCTCTCTCTCTCTCTCTCTCTCTCTCTCTCTCTCTCTGTGTGTGTGTGTGTGTGTGTGTGTGTGTGCTCTCTCTCTCTCTCTCTCTCTCTCTCTCTCTCTCTAGAGAGAGAGAGAGAGAGAGAGAGAGAGAGAGATCCATCGAGCACACAGAGAGAGAGAGAGAGAGAGAGAGAGAGAGAGAGAGAGAGAGAGAGATTCATTCTATTTTGCTCATCCTATGGATTACACATACACATACACATCCGATAAGCCCTACTGGGCCCTCTTTCCAGTACGGTCGGCCGTAAAGGGCCGTCCTAAGTAAGCGCAGGCCGACCAATGCCTGTTTGGGGGAAATTCAGGCAGTTGCGAAACGCCAGTTGGTTGAAAGCGCCCAGGCCCTGAGACCCCACTACTGGGGAAATTCAGGCAGTTGTGAAACGCCAGTTGGTTGAAAGAGCCCAGGCCCTGGCTACCTTTATCAAATACATCTAGGTCAGGCCCTGGGCGAAATACGCAACAAGGACCCAACACAGGCTGCGGGCAGTTGGGCACGGGTAATTGTCACAGGCCCTCGGCCTGGTTCGTTCAGACTGGGGCTCAGCTTCCCGGGGCCTACCGGAAGCTTCTGGGCCGGGGCCCCGTGCAGCCGGGTCGCACGCAGCAGGCAGGCCACTTCCATTTAGGAAAGTGTCCTAAATGCTGGTAAAGGCTGGTGGCCACTTCCATTTAGGAAAGTGTCCTAAATGCTGGTAAAGGCCACTTCCATTCAGCAAGCATGAGCCCGCCCTAAGTGAAAGCGGTCCCCCTGAATTTCAATAGGGCCTGAATTCGTCAAATTYGGTAARGGCTGGTGGGCGCCAKASAGTTGCCATGTGCCAGCTGGTTACATCCTCCATACTCGTGAGAATCGGAAATAATTCCTGAGCCTTCTAGGCTTTTSCAGCAGCACAGGCGAAGCAGGGAGAACCTCACGTTTACTCCTGGGTGGTTGGGCAGGCTCAGCCAATTCGGTCCCAGGCCACTCTCTGAATGGGCCTGGGCGCATACACTCTGGCCAGATTGGAAGCTGCCGGAAATACACGAGGCCCAGCCAGGGAGCAGACTGCSCGAGCACTTTCCATAAAGGAAAAAGCTYGCCACTGGTGGAGGCATTCGGGCACTAGGCAGTGCATGCGGCAGTGCTGCTTGCGCGTGCGCTCGCGGCCTGTGCGCTGTGCACTAGCGCTAGTTGCCAGGCAGTGCTCACGGGCGCTGGAGGAAGGCAGGGCGCTGCTGAGGGCAGCGCCATAACCAGTCCTATATAGCCAGGGTTTGGCTTGGACAGCCAGTGGAGGTGGWGGTGGTCTTCGTGCATAAGGGAGAAGACGTGGGAGGAAGACAAGGATAGGGATAGAGTGAAAGAGATCAGGATGATGATGTGAGGGCTCATACCTGGTATTGGCGATGGTCTGCATCTTCAAGTACTTCGGTGGCTGCTGACCTCAACAGTTGCATTGTCAGTAGGYAGGAAGTAGCTGTGTAGGGTACCTGGGCGCTGAGCGCCAAGTAGGGAGAGAGAGGGCCTGGATACATATCTTGGTGGGGATGAGAGTGAGCTCTCATTCACATTAGGTTTCAGTGTTTGGATTCTCCATTGGTGAAATATTGGTGCAATGCTGCTTTCTGGACACTGTGGGACTTTCTTCCTTTCAATGTGATTGTGCTATCTGGATTCTGTCATCTCGCAATCTCTCATTTTCCTTGCAACAC